GTCGTGGACCTTCCAACATAAATCTTGACAACTTTGTTTGTTCCTTTCATGTTTGCCGGGCTTCATAACCAGTCCCCTCTATTAACTATGCTAGGGGGGACTCCCATGTGAGAAGGTCGGGGATGCTCCTTGGAAAATTTGAATGAAACCCCTAAAGGAGGCCAATCTGGTCAAGGCTTGAGCTTTATTTGACCCTTATAAGATACCAATTAAAACAAAAATGATAGCATTTTTTATTATTGTTTCTTTGAGTGCACCCTTTGACAGGTGAACACCCTAGGTGAGACCTAAATCCGTGATTTACAGCCCTAACCAAGACGACAAGCATCCCCCACCTTTCCATATGGGAGTCTACCCCGGGCTTTGGTGATTTTAATCATTTTAAAAGTTGACTGCTTGAACCTTTTTTCCTGCCAGGACTTCCTTTGTTAGCTCTTGATCTGTCAGATTACATTCATGTCACAGACAGTGGGGTTTACTCAATAGCACATATGACAAGGTAAAACATTGAACTTTTTTATTTGCAAAACACATAATTACTTACATTACTTGAGTTGTTTACATCACTAACAATTCTTAACTATACATTACAAGCATTTCTTACATCAACCATAACTTACCCACTCACTTACACGCGCACAGGCATAGAAAAATAAATAACATGGCAAAGTCAAACCCGTTTGAACCTGACATTTTCTTACTCACTCAAAAACGTCGTAGGTATTACATGAACTAAATATTGGATGTTAAATGTATCCCTGGAGCCCACTAGCAGCATTCTGCATTAAGCATTGGCGGATTTATTTTGAAAAGCAAAATGCAAGCTGATGTATGTTGGGTCAGATGGGTTGACACTGAGCCAGTCCAGTAAAAACCATCTTGCCCCTCTCATGCCTATTATGCTTGGAACGTGTGATTCAGACCATTTAACGAGACATTTTCACAGTTCCTATTGAAATCAAGTTCATGAAAGGTGTTTTAAAAGTAGGTATTGACTGAGTAAAGTTACACTGGATGGGAAAATATTTGGCTCCCAATCAGGAAGCACAGACCTTGCTGCACTCTACTGGTACACCCTTACCTAAGGCCTTAATCCTGTATTAATATTGCAACCTTTTTCATCATAATGATTTTTGCTCAAAACTAAAGCATTAATAGCTGAAAGAGCTGCTTGTAACCTTCTTTTCCTTCACAATACAGATTGACTCAGTTGTCACTTAGCAATACCAAACTGACAGACGATGGAATGAAGAGCTTAGCAGGCAAGATTAACTTTATCCGTTTTACCAAGCATTTTAGGCAGGGAATTTAGCTGCAGGGCTTTGGACGCTTTGCGGGCCCACAATGCTAAGCAAATAGTGAATTATTTCAGGAAAAAATAGAACATGAGTGTAAGTCTGGGAGAAGGAGAAATGCTGTGGGAACACGAGTTGCAAGTTAATGTTTCCAGAGCTTTTTCAAGCTTATCCCAAACTTTCACAAGTGGTTCTAACTCTTTAGAAACGAAGAGAAAATGTGTTTTACCTTACTCTTGCAGTAAGTCATCTCTACTTTTTGTTGACAGCTCTGACAGAACTTGAAGAACTGAATGTAGACAGAACTGTGATTACTGACGAAGGATGTACAGTTTTGCCAAGTAAGCGACTCTTTTACCATTTCTGAGAGATCGTTTTTAAAGGGTTAGTAGAGAAAAAATAGTCACTGAAGGGAGGGGGACATATGTAAACAGAGAAACCAATGCGGTGTTTAAATAAAACCCTTTTATATTTAGTCTTGAGTGTGTGAGCATTGCAGTGAAAACTATCAAGGAATGATTTTATGTGATAAGTTTCAAG